AGGGTTTTTTAATTTATTTTTAATTTTTCACACACATATATATAATTTTTCTGTCCCCAATTAGCAGAAATATCTGCAACATTCAAGGTTTAATAGACTCTCAATGGCCCAAACTGCTGGCTTCTTGGAGTGCAACATGGAAAGCATTAGGAAACATGTACATCTCTAATACAAATTCAAGGTTGAATCTGTTTGCTGATCCCTGTAGAAGAGGAAGTTTAATCTATCTTTCTGTAGGCACCAGTTTACCATTTCTTCACTTGTAGCTGTTGAAAGAGCATGCATACAGATGAGTTCTTAGATGTCTGATAGCAATTTACTTACCCAAAGATCCTATTTGCATGTGACAAAGTAGATGCATATAGAGTCTGGGTTTTATTTTATGCTTACATAGAGCCTTTAAGTGACTGCTGCTGAGCACATCCTTAGAATAACAAGCAGCATTTGCAATTTCATCCCCTAAAAGTTTATATAACTTCTGCTGGGTTAACACTGTAGAAAGTTACAGGGAGTATGACAGCATATTCTACATTTGGATGAGTACCAAAAGGAATGGACACCATTAAAGAATGCATGTTGCAATGATACAACAGGTGTTTTGGCTAAAATCCTGGACCATTAAATGAAGTGATGTTTCCCTCTGTGGCTGGGATTCCACCCTCAATTTTTACCCCTAAGATCAATCAAAACAATTTTCTCAGACCTGGGGGCAAGCACAGCTCCATTACCATCACTCAGTGTCCTTGCTTTCAACTCCATAGAATGGTTAAAATGATATAGCAAAGTTTATACCTCACAGTCTTTTTTGACCAGAGTGTTGCATTACCAGTGGTTTTGGGCTGACCGAGACATTTATGGACTGAATTCATCATCATAACTTGAGCACAGGCTGTATTTGACCCCATTGTAATGAACTAATCCAGAGCTTCCATATACTGTCATGGCTGTCTACAGTACAATAATAAATAAATTTATTTGCATCAAGTCTGGTTGAATTTGGCTATACAAGGTCTGCTTTAGGTTTTAATTCAATATTTTCAATTAATGGATACAACAAAACTTCACAGAAATGGAGGGTGTTGAGTTGAAAATCTCCTAGTTGTGCACTACTAGTAGGCAGCAGAAAGCAACTACAGACCACATAACTGAAGAGGACTGCTTGTCCTTTCACAAAGAATGGGAAGAGGAAAACTATTACACCAAAATGTTTGAAGGTATTGCTGTTGCATGATATTGTTTGTCACACTAGGCTGTGTTCACTAAATTAAAGGACAGCCATTACCTACTACAGCTCTGCAACATACCTGGAGGCAATGCAAGATTAATCTGTTCTGATATGTTTCTGAAAAAAAGAAACCTGAAATGGTTAAGGAAATACAAGTGCTTTCAGGTACAAAAGCATATATAGATAATTGCTTTCAATCTCTATGGGAAAAAAGAAAAAGTTTCAGATGAAATGATCAACATCCCTGCCTTTGGTTATTAGCAGGTATTTTTCTTCCTAAGTGTGGGAGGAAGCAGGTAGTGAGTAACTGTATTCCAGTTTATTGCTAATGCACAAGAGCCTGACAGAAACAAATCTTTGAAATGGCATAATCTATATCTAAAGCCAAAGTGCAAGCAACAATCAATCACATTTTCATTTCGAGGATGCTTGGATAGAAGACTTAATTGTTTGCCGATGAAGAGAAATAAGGAAATTATCATTTAAAAGAGAAGCTTAGTTTGCCAGCAGCTTTGTTTGTTTTGAATTTGGATTTTTGCCCTTTTCCACACAGTATCTGAACTTACTACGTAGTCAAATCTGTAATTATCATGCTACATAATAATACAAATAGTAATATCAAGTTCTTTATTACTTGATTTGTGATTAGGAACAGATCAGGAGTTTTCTGATTAAGTGTGTTTTTCTTGGAAAGGGCAGATGTACTGACACCAAATATTTTGTGGGTAAAATACCCATTCTAGTGAATGGTCAAGAAAACAAAGCTGTAGTGGGCTTCCTGCATGCTTTCTGGGAGTCTGGAGACTCCTGTCTGTGCTGCTCAAAGGAAGGCTTGCATGGAAAACAGCCCAACAGCAAAGGGCTTGACAGCAAAGCTGAGACCCTTCTCTTTCCACATGACATAGCCAAGAGATGCGAGCCCCAGCTCCCAGAGTTTGACTCATCCGTAAGATCTGGAGTCTGCAGCCAGCCTCCCATCTCTCCCTCTCAGTCCTTTGGAACAGCGTGTTAAAAAACATGAATCGAGATCAGAAATGTTCTTTAGAATGCAGGCATCAGTCTCAGCCATTACAGTTAGAAGTAGGAGAGACCATTTAACTGAGAAGAACCACATGCAGAGATGTTATCTGCTGTGTGTTTAAATATTTTCCTGGGGATGGGAGGTTTCAACAATATTACATGTTCTTCCATTTTTCATTACAACTGAAATTCTACAATTTTTACTATCCGTAAGAATTAGAGAAAATAGTAAATAATGCCATTGCTCTTTGATCACATTGCAGAAAAGATAGCTTCCGACAGCTGCATAGCTATCTGCCTGCTGTAGTTCTTAAAATGTTTCAGAGTTGGCAATGTAACCCAAATAATTTTAATTAGCTAAAAGCAATCTAATACATAAATATAATAGAAATAAAACAAAGACACATGTGATCATCCCAGGCATTTCACATTTTGCAAATTGTCTGCTCATGCCAGTATGTCAGCCCATCAGATAACAAAATCACTGCATCAGGTAATTCTGCTGTAAACTGAACTTTTTAATTTTCATCAGTGTTAAAAATAACTGACAGATGGGGAGTATAATAGCTCAGGGAAACCACTGTGCTAATGCATCTAACAGTTTCCCAAACTGGACTACACATCTTGCTGGGCTGGAGTTTAAATAAATTCATGATTGCCTGAACCCATCTGTGTAGACATACCCTAGATCCTGGCTGTTCATAGCCCTTCAAATGCTATTAAAACTAGGGAACTAGGGTGGAAATAAATGTTCTCTGCAATACAGGATAATGCAGTTGTAGACAGTGGAAATTCTGGAGCCTCCATAGTCTGAAAAATGTATATTTCAAATAAATGCATTAGTGCAATATTTACTTATGCAGGAAAACAGTGGCATAGCGTGAATAATTTTCCCTCTAAGTAAGAATGTGCAAACCATCTTAACAGACTGTTCTCTGATCCTTTAAAACAGTTTGAACACTGTGTTATTTCTTATTATTTATCCCTTTGAGAAATGATGCAGTCTCATCTTTGCTCAAAGACTTTCAACAGAGCAACGCTGCTCTCAAGCATGCACTATGGTTATGACCATTACTAAGGTGACAACAGAAAATAACGTTACCACATGATCATTTTGTTGATTGTCGTAATTTCTCCATATATCTTGACCTTTCTGTGTGTTGTTTTGGTTAACAAAAACCTGCTATGTAATCTCCCTCTATCTCATACTTCATTCATTCAGTGTTATTTCAAAGCATTGTCAAAGGCATTTGGTGCTTGTCTATTGTGAAGCATCACGGTTTCACAAATACTCCAGAGAAAAATAATGGAAAGAATGAACCATAGAAGGCAGTGCTTCTCTTTTTCTTATTTTTCTTTTGTTGTTGTTGATGTTTTGTTTTGGTTTTTTTTTTTTTGTTTGTTTGTTTGCTTTGTTTTCTGTGGCTTTAACAAACCAGTAGATAACACCACACAAAAAGGGTGCAGGGGAGAGAATGAGCACATAGTCATTTCATGGGTTTGAGAAGTTTGCAAGTGGTTACAGTTTTACTATTTTAATTTCCTCATCTGCAAATCTTAGTGACCATACTATGCATGGTTCCTTAGAAGGAAGAGTGGACTGTTCAAGATTAGCACCGTTTCATTTATTTCATTTATACTCTTTGCACCCATCCTCCATTTGTCAAGCTTTTCCAAATAATGCTACCAGAGTACAAAAAGGTGTAAAATGAGGAAAGGAGTGGCTCAATAAATAACTGAAGTCAGCACTGGAGGAATATAACGCTACTTACGACACACAGTCGAGTATTCAATCAAGTCTCTTCTACAAGCAATTGATATTCTAGATAGCCTCTGCATAATGTTGTCAAGAGACTTAGAAGGATGTTAACATTTCGTTACTCTTGCCATTGATTTTTCTTCTGCTTTCTTCGCAACAAAAGTCAAAATGTGACCTCTTATTCCACTGAATTAGTTCCAGAGTACTTGGCATTATTGACCTCCTAATGAAAATTAATGATGGCCTTTTTGATTCAGTCTTTCAAGTATATACACCAAGCACATTTAAGAAAAATGTACATTTATTTGTCATATTGAAATGAAATAGCAAACTGCTAAGTAACAAAATGTATATTAATGCAAGATTAAATTTGCAAATATAAGCACATAGAATTCAAGAGATTTAAACTGCATTATCAGGAGCTGATGCTACGAAGATTTAAACTTGACAATAATTTCAGACCTGGAAAGCCAATGAGTTTTACAAGTAAAGATAAACACACGAGTACAAAATAACAGCCCCAGGCCCTAAATTTATGGCAAAAATCTGGTAAGACTGAAATATTTTTACTATGCAACAGAGACAATTGCACATTAGCTTAGGTATTTCCATGCTTTTCTTTTCTCTTTTAAAGCTAGAGAAGAATTAAAATTCTTTTCAGTGACTTTTTTCTTCTGTGCTCGCAAGTTGTCACCCCACAATTGAGTGGATTTCCTTCATATGGTGCCTTACACAAATGTTTATGCACAAACTGCCTTCAGTCAGTGGATATGGATCTTTTCTCCTTTGCATCCATGTAAATGAGGATTACCTCTACCAGGCGAAACAGGAAAGGTGAATGGATTCAAATCTGAAGATAGGGTGAAAGCTTGACATTTTATCTAAACAACTTCCTATTCCTGGGAAATTCTCCCAGAACTTATTCCTGGGGAATTATGTATGAAATCTGCAAGAAAAATGAATAAATGAACTTACTTTCTTCCTCTCTTTCCTTAGACAACAAAGACTATGATGCATATCTGTCCTATACCAAAGTGGATCCTGACCAGTGGAATCAAGAAACTGGAGAAGAAGAAAGATTTGCTCTTGAGATCCTACCAGATATGCTTGAAAAGCATTATGGATACAAGTTGTTCATACCAGACAGAGATTTGATTCCCACAGGAAGTAAGTCATGTCTTTATGCTTGCTTGTTTCCTAAACAGGAAATGCAGTGTTTTGATCTGGGTTCTTTACCTACTCTTTCAGAATGTCATCTTTGCTCCCTCTTCTTAGGGATTGATGAAGATAAGCCACCAAACATAACTAATGTGTATGTCCCAGATAAGAGGATTATTTTTTAGCAGTTGAATTACATTGATTGAAGGTGAGACAGTGCAGAAAGGGCATGCATATGTAAAGGAAATGAACGACACTAACATTTTTTTTCACAGGTTTTTGACAGCTTGCGTATCTAGGAATGAATACAGAGGTCCTTGTTTTCTGTTCCTTAGAGTTTTCCTGGAAAGATATCTGTGATTCAAAGTTTTTATTACAGAAACTCAGATGGGAAGAGAAAAGTTGTATTTGGACTAAGGCAAGGGTTGAGTAATAACATCTACAGCATAACAAAGTAGTGAATTCTGTTAGTGTCCACTGCAGATAAATGTATAGTGGAGGTGGTGGATCGTTCTCAAAGACTGAAAATTAGAATTGATTCCAGCTGGTACAAGCAGATCTTTTTCATGTTTCTTTCACATATTCCAACCTATGTACAGTATTTTTTTGTAAGTTGCTGTAGTATTCTTCATAACTTCAGTGTAACCATATAAACATCTACTAAGTTCAATATCCTTTACTGAAGATAAGAAAGGATGCCTGCTATAGGCAAAGCACAACATCAAACATAATTCCATGGGTATTTTTGAAATCTGCAGCAAACTAAACATAATTTGCAGGAGACAACACTGTTTTTGTGAATGTGTGTAGTGGGGACATGAAAGGAAAACAGAAATCTAATGGTACAGTACACCTTAGAGTATTATTTAGGTTTGAGACTGAGCCCCTGAAGCACATAGTTGCTGTTCTGTTGCCTACCTGGGTGACTTTGGCTTTTTAAAGCAAATGATGGACACACTTCTTCCAATAAAGATATAGATATTGATACAAAACCACAGCTCATGAACAAACTCTCACAATCCATAGCACATGGAAGAAAAGATGTTTTGCAGGACCACAGTATAGTTGAGGTTGGAAGGGAGGGACGTCTGAAGCTCATCTTGTCCAAGCCTCCTGCTCAAGCAGGGCCACCTAGAGCCAGCTGCCCAGGACCGTTCCCTGGCAAGCCAACCTGGCATGTTTGCTAATTATGTTTTTGCATATTTTGGTGAGCAATTCTGGGAATAGGGACTTGCCTCTGTTGTTCATTCCCAGTCTATGGGAGCCAAGTGTACTCTTAGATTGATTTTTGAGCACTTGTCTTATTTTGTAGCCTACATTGAAGATGTGGCAAGATGTGTAGACCAAAGCAAGCGACTGATCATCGTCATGACTCCAAATTATGTGGTAAGAAGAGGCTGGAGCATCTTTGAACTGGAAACGAGGCTTCGAAACATGTTAGTCACAGGCGAAATCAAAGTGATACTGATTGAATGCAGTGAACTACGGGGAGTTATGAACTACCAGGAGGTCGAGGCCCTGAAACATACCATCAAGCTCCTCACTGTCATTAAATGGCATGGACCAAAATGCAACAAGTTAAATTCCAAGTTCTGGAAACGTTTACAGTACGAAATGCCTTTTAAGAGGATTGAACCCATCACACATGAGCAGGTTTTAGATGTCAGTGAGCAGGGACCCTTTGGGGAACTGCAGACAGTCTCCGCAATTTCCATGGCTGCTGCCACCTCCACTGCTCTTGCCACTGCTCATCCAGACCTGCGCTCCACCTTTCATAACACATATCATTCACAGATGCGCCAGAAACACTATTATCGAAGCTATGAATATGATGTACCTCCTACCGGCACCCTGCCACTTACCTCAATAGGTAACCAGCATACCTACTGCAACATCCCCATGACACTTATAAATGGGCAGCGGCCGCAGACAAAAACTAACAGGGAGCAGAATCCGGAAGAGGCTCACACAAACAGTGCGATACTGCCCCTCTTGCCACGGGAGACCAGTATATCGAGTGTCATTTGGTAACTGAAATGCAAGGGGCTGTCAACCCCCTTGAGTAGGAGCTGAGTCTGCAGTCCGGTGCCTGGAACTACATCCTCGACTGCTGCTGTTAAACATGCATTACAATCGATAACATACGAGGAAAAACAGGGTCTTGTACATATGTTTTTTGCAATTTCTTTGTAGCATCAGTCTTCCTGTTTTACCCATGTCTCTTCCCATTCACATTTTCGACTTTGTTTTATATGTCATTGGAATTTGTATATTTACTTTTTTTTTTTTTTAAATGAAGAGACTGCTGTACAGATAGGAGACTTTTTTGCTTCATTAGTATAGTTTTAGACTTTTTGTTTGTTTGTTTTTAACCTCTCTTGGGAATGCTTGGACAAAGCTTTGTTGATGTCAGAAGCACCATCCATTTTGTTGGCCTGCCTAGCCTGATTCCTGAAGGCCATGCCTGCTGCCGTTCATCTCTTTTGGAGAATATTTGTTCTTAGAAGGACCCCGTCCCTCACTGAGAGCTCCAGTTTCATTTCTACTCCAGTAATGTGCACTGCTCCTTCCCTGCCCTTACAATGACCCCCATTCGGGGTAACACTACAGTCTGATCATCTAACATGTAACTTGGTAGATACCTGTCAAGCAACAGAATATACCCAATCTGTATCGGTTCCTTCACAGTAGTCGCTACAGAGTGTGTAGAAACTAGAGATGGTTTGGTTTTTGCTTTCTTGGATTTGGGTTTTTTAATTATTATTTTAAGAAAGAGTTGATTGTATCCCTTTTATAAATATAAAAGAAAACCCTATTTTTAACACTTCCTGGAAAAGTATTAATGTGGTTGTGGATTTTATTTTTAAACATTTAACTTTTTATTTACCCCCTTTCAGAATCCTGCAAATAAGATCATTTGCAATTGTCAGGCAAGTAAAACAAGTAAGGCAATAGGCACTGAAGTGCAGAATCCTGCTGATATTTACAGTGATGACTTCCAAACCAAAGGGGAATAAAAAGACAGTATTGTAGATGGTTTGTCACTTTGTATTATAGGAAAGTGTTATTTTCTGAAAAAGTAAGTGCAAAATATTATTTTGCTGTGGATTGCAGAGTCCCCTTATATTTTAATGTTCCAAAAACTGTATTTGCTTTAAAATTATATATTCAGGATTAAGAAATCTTCTTTTGTTTGGTTTTAGCTTTTAATGATAAGTAAAACTTTATTAATTTCAACATGATTTCAGTAAGAACTCAGGCAGAAAAAGAAGTGACATGAATACCAACAAATATAATTGTTTTCAGAATAAACTTTATTTATACAAAATTAATATTTAAAACAGACCTGGAAGTATTAAAAACAATTTATTCACTTTAATGAATAAATAAATTAGTTTTATTTTTTATGTATGATTCTATCTTTGAGGAGTTGAAAATAATGCGTGTACCCCGGCTGCCAGGGAAGAAAAAAAGAAACATTATGTTTACATCTGGACATCTTTAAGACAAATGAAACAAGCATCTTACTTATGTTTTAAATAATGGAAAAGACCTTTCTGGTTTTAAAAAGAGAGAGGAGCGATGTTGTAGCTCTACAACGTATTCAGGCCAAGCACTCTGCTAGTCTCTGCTAGCAGAAGCAGAGGAGCTGGAGCAGAGTTACTGGTTGCAGCACACTGCCATACAATCATGGGTTTGATTTATCCTGGCAGAAATGTAACTGGTATCCTGGCAAACAGACGTTATAGTTTATTTATGTAATCAATTATCTTTAGGTATTTTTATGGTAGCTGAATGATATTGGCCAATATAATGAATGTGTGGGGTTTGTTCATCCCGACTGTCACAATGAGAAAAGTACAGCTTATAATATTTTGGTCTTCTTAATGAGAAGTGATGGGTAGAGAGTGGGTAAACTGCAGTTTGGGGGATGTTGGTGGGAGTAATCCAGAACTGACAGTGTGGGAGGAAATGACTATGCTCCTGTTGTAAAAGTCAGGAAATCTCAGTGTCTGCATAACGAGCTAATAGAGCTTTGGGATGTGCACTGATTTTTATTTGCTTAAAAATGTTTATTTCTCTGACAATTTGCTCAAGTCCTTTTCTACAATCTGTTCTTTATTATGGTGTCTCCCTCTGGACATGTGCCAAACATCCACAAAATGGAAATGAAGCTGCCAGGCTAGATAAAATTTTAAGAGAGCTTTGCACATTTGGTTGTTGTCTCAGTGTAAGAAAGCTATTATTTATTTGCTTTTACAGACACCTGTCAGGCACTGCTGGCATTTTCCTTCATTCAACTAGATGTGAAATACCCTGAAAGTAATGCATTGTTTTTTCCCCTTTCCCTCCCCTTTACATGCCCTGGGGTAAAGACTGGGATGTGGAGTAAATGTAGAATGTAACTATCTGACCACAGTCATATTTAGATGATTGGTAGGTATTTCCTTAGACACACGGGAAGTACTTTTCTGTTGTTCTATTTTTTAATATAGATTTAAGCACTTTGAATAGCATGATTCAGGGATTGATGGATACTATTTGATATTCACACTACTTAAAAAAAAGTTTTTCTTATAAAGTTTTGACATAATATTAAACAAAAGAGAAACCAACAAGGAAAGAAACAAGCCACAAAACAAAACCTGAAATACATGAAGAAGCTATCTATGGCTTTAAAAACATTTCTCCTTAGTATTCCTCCTCTATGAACAGCTGTGTGGAGAACAGTGAAGGTAACTGTTGTGTGTTCACGTGTTCTATGTTTGACAAAAGTTCTGTTGGAACGCAAAATAAAATGGAAAAAAAAAAAACCAACAACCAAACCTGTCATTGCCCTAGTGCTTAGGCTCTCTCCTTTTTTGGTGAAGGTGTTCCAGTTTTTTGACAATGCAGCCTGAAGCATGCACGCAATAGCTACATATAAGGTTTAGCCATAAGCAAATAGCACTTTATTTTAAAAACTGCACAGTGTGGTGATTGGAAAAACTTAACTCAGCCTGGTCAATAACTTCAGGTCTGTATGTGGATTCTATGCACATCAAATATCCAAGTGGTGCTTTGTCTTTATACGTCTCTCTCTAATCAGGGTAGTCCTTGATATAAAACTAAAGGACTTTGTTGTACAACCTGTGGAAATTCAGTATATATGTTCTCTGTACAGCACATATAGCTGGACAGAAATGGGGGACTGTATGGTATGCAGCTAATTATTTTGAAGGCTAAGTGCATTGCTGGGTCTGATTCTGTTCTCAGTTGCAGCAGTATGATTTGAGAGTAAATCTAATAAAGTTGAATGAGTGTAAGATTGATTTGTGTGGGAGAAGAAAATTGGAAAAAGCAAAGAGAAAAGGAATTCATATTTGCAGTCTGTGACAACCTGAAATCTTGGTCGCAAGGAAAGCAGCAGCAAAATATCTTCTGCATTTTAGCAGGGACCCAGTTCTCACCTGGAAGCCAACATCAAACACTTTCAATATGATCTGGTTCAGAGCTGAATACTGTTAGGCTTAGATGAAAACTAAGACTTTCTATTACTGCAGAGTGGTGAAAACCATGTATATGTTTCATAATGGGTGACAGATTCAAAATAAGTTGAAAGCTTATTATACCCACCTGATTAAAATTCACAAAGTTTTACTTGGATATTGTGCATTAATGACTATTTAAATTATAGATAAAGCAGTGAGATTTGGGGAAAACTGTCCTCATAAACAGGCTTCCTTCATTCTCCAACTGAAAAAAAAAAAAAAAAAAAAAGAAGAAAATGTCAAGCTAGCAAGCCTAAGGAGAGTTTAATTAAAATTCAAAGCAGAAAAAAAAAATCACTGCAGTAAACTCAAAAATAGGACAAAGTTCGATGGAGAAAAAAGGTCAAAATACCCACCTTTTTTTTGACAATATAGTGGCCTTTTTTGTCATGCAAAGCTCTGTACTCTGCCTGACCTACATAAGGCAACAGGATTTTTTCAGGCCCATCCAGACAGATTAGCAACAAATATGTCCTTGTATGTCTAATATGCTTCCGAATGATTTTGTACTTGTTGGTAGTCTAGCACAGAGAGTTTTTGGTATCTTCTATTGTTATGATACAGAGGATGGCAGAAATCTTCCAGCACTAAAAAAAAATCTCTGTAATAGACTTAGTTTATTATCCAGAGTAACTATATTCCTTCACACCCAGCCCTTATCTGATTTGCTGTTATTAGAACACTTTTTTTTAAACCCATTTCTCAGCTAAGCAAGAGGTTAAGGCGACTGGCATCTGAAAAAATGTAAGCAGTTTCATAACAATGCCTCTCCTTGTATAATCAATGCTGCAAGTTCCCTTGCATTTTTTCTTTATAATCACAACACTTCACCTCCTAAATAGCCCACTGAGTGGAGATTGGAGAACACTGCTGTGTCTTTCATTTGAGATTCACAGAATTTAGTATGGATATTGAGCTGACATGTGTGATGTAATTTTGTTGGGCTATTTCCCAGTGACTCTGGCTATATCCTCCAAGAAGACGTGTTGGCAGCATGGCACTTCTCCAGCTGGCCTTGGGTTGATGTTCCAGAACTTGGAGTTGTTTCCCTGGGAAGTGAAACTAATGGAAATGTTTCCACTATTAAGAGTTTTCCTATGCTTTTTGTTTGTTTAAATTCTGTTTAAGACAAAGTTTGATGTTTAGTCTGGACTAACAAACTCTGCAGTTGGGAGGTCAAGAGTCCATGAAGTCGCGAAGCAGTCAGAGCAGAAATTACAAAGGCAGGCCTGATATCTTATTTGGAAAATATATAAATTCTGAAGCTGCTCAGATTACTAAAAATTGAGTACATTGAGATTGAGGGTTGATGAAGGAAAGGATTCTGTTATTACAACCAGTCTCATTCCAAAAGCTTATCAGCATTCTTACATTAAATAGCCAATATCCTAGATAATGTAATTTTAGAAACATTCAATAGTCGATGAAAATATTTTTATTTTGGTGGATTAAGAGTAATATGATTGTGTAGGATCAAAATGTTAAATGAAATAGATAATC